TCGTTGGATGGATTATATTTTCTTTGTAGAAGGTACCCCGGGACATTGCAGGTAATTATCATTTTGTAAAAACAAAGAAAACGTTACCTGCGCTCTGGCCTAAATCCCCATGTGCATTTAAACAAAAATGGAGGCTCTTTATTTTTATTCTAATGGCCATTTGAATATATAAGCTCACCTGCCACGTCAAGGCAAGCCTCAATAGGTGAGTTCCTACACTAGCCATTAGATATGCTATTATCATTTTGTATCTGTGTGCCCCCAGCCACCTTGTCCCTCTCTATGTCACTTTCAGGTATGGAGTGACCCTAAAGGCTCTATTTTGGTAGTCTTCCACTTTCCCCAGTCTGTAAATTGAGTGTCTTATTGGGACATATTTCCATTAAGGGCATCAAAGCTTTAAAAGAAATATGTCCCAATAAAACAGTTTCTGCAGCAGCATCTATATTATAAATCAAAAATAGAGATTATGAGAGCTCTGGAAAAAGCTCACTAAACTCAATATCTTGCCCTTCAGTTAATCAACTCTCAGGTCTCAAAACATTTTATTGCTCATTTATGCTATTACAGAGTGAACCTATAATATTTGCTTATCAGACTGGTTCCACCCTGAAGGGCAGCCCAGATCCCAAATATTGGAAAGTTCCCTCTGCATGAGAAATACACCAACCCGGGCAATAGTTTCAGCTTCGTCAGCGAGGTGTAGCTGATTTCCAAGGATATCTTGGAGCTGATATGGTTGGATCAACAGAGCTTTGTCAACTGCCAATGAAGGCCAACAAAGAGTGCTGCTGCTATTAAAGAGGGCTTCAAGATCTTTTGGTGGATTGAAACCTGGAATGTGACAATGTCAGTGATTCACAGTCCTGCTGTAGATAAATGGGTAGCGGACAACCTTATTCACCAGGCCTTTCTCCCCAGGGAGTGGAATCTCCATCCACAGATATACCAGACAGTTCAGTACTAGTGTCTTTCAGAGATCGATGTAATGACCTTTTGTTTAAATGCTCAACTTCCAGTTTATTGTGCCAGAATCATGGATCCAGGTGCACCTCTAGTAGAGGCACTGATGGTGCCTTGGAACTTTCACTTGATCTTATTTTTCCCTCAAGTCCCTTGATCATCTCAGATGGTGATCAGTATTTAATGAGGTCATAATGCCACCATTCTGATACTTTATGACATCACTTTTGCCATTAAAAAAAAAAAAAATCACTGACAATTGCCATTATACAACTTGACAAGGCTTGACCCCTTAAGTGGGCTGAAAGGTTGCTCTGGTGTGTGTGGTTTTTTTTTTTTTTTCTTGAATGCTTGATCTGCTTTCTTGTTACTGCTTGGCAATTTGTATAGGCTATGTTAAGTAATGACGTCTTGTTGATTAATTAAAAGGACATCAATTAAAAGGATAGTCTAAGCACCAAAACAACTTTAGCTTAATTAAGTGGTTTTCGTGTATAGATCATGACCCTGCAGTCTCAGTAGTTAGTTGCTTCCACTTAGAAGTCAAATCACATTGATCACACTTTCCCTGCCTGTGACTTGCACAGTCTCACCACACAATACCTGTAAAGGGGAGATCTAATTATTAAACTATTTTAGTGTTTAATTTGTTATCTCTTGCTTTGTTAACATTTTAAGGACATAATTCTTTAAGTGTCCACTTACATATTCTATTTTAATTTTTCAATGAAAAGAAAGGGCTTTATTTTAATATTCTATGTGTATACCTAACACAACACTAATTGTGAATAAAATGGGGGGGGATGCATTTATAATCAATTGTACACATCCAGTGCATGTATGTCTAGGATCTACATTCACTCTTAGTTGTTAACGCTAACCCTATACCTACCCTCAATGCTATACCAACCCTAACCCATGCTTACACTTACTGTAACCATGTACCTACGCTAACCATAACCTTACATTACCCCTAACTATAAAACAGCATTAATTTAACCCTTACCTTACCCCAAACCTAAGGAATAATCTCTGCTTTAATCAATTCTGATATCAGCCAATGGATTTCCTAACTAAAATAGTAGAGAGCAATCTGTAGTAATAGAATATGGGTAATTTGTGGCTACGACTAAATGTACTTTGGTTTTTATTAATATTATCCAGCACTTTTATGTATTTTATCTACTTTCAGATTGCTCAACTCTATCCAAATCTTACTCTAATGAGAAATATATATCACGTGAACACCGCCTCTCGTTAAATCTTATATTTCTTTTACCTATTTATCAGAGGAAGGAAAGTTCATTTTATTGGCAGCTGATGGCTTAATAAACAACTGACATAATAGACGTTCCTTATATGTTGCTTGATTAAATAATGTAATGTTTGTTTTACTGGAATTCATCATTTAAATGCTGACATGATCCTGGCAGTAGGTTGTAACCTTTTAGATAATTTTATGTTGGAATTAAAATTAATGTTTACACAGTAGACACAAATAAACCAAATTATCAGTCCCTTTATGACTCATAAGGGCATGAGACTGGCTTAAACAGGAGATATTGCTAATTATTTAATATATGACCACTAAACCGCTGCATGGTAATTACTCACATTTAAAGACACGTTAAGTAGAAATATTTGTTTTACTATACAGCAAATAAAAAAAAATAAAAAATCAATCTTTATTTGGATTAAGGTATGAATTGGATGGACTACCCAAAAGTGTATTCAGAAAACCTAACTTAAAGGATAAATAAGGGCATTAAAGTTGAAAATGTGTGTAAGTACACTATTTATCCATAGTCTACAGCTTTGCAATCACTTAGTAAACCTGATTACCTGGAAAAGATCAGGGCTTATAAATGCTTATTTATTGCAAGACCTTCTTGTTATTATTTGTACTGCCCATTGCCATTGGAAAGTTAAGTGTTTGTAAGAGGATTCTTTTTATTTACAAAATTTCTTAGGGCCAAGAGTAAAAGTCACAGGTTGGTCTCAATGGGAGAAATTGAGAAAGAAAGTCACTTGGATTCTATCTCCTAACCATAAAAATATATACAAGCTTTAAAACAGAGCACATAAAAGATACAATAGTTATGTTACAACAGGCATGTTATGATACAAAAAAAATATTTAAAGTAACACGACAGGGTCAGGAACACAAACTTGTATTCCTGACCCTATAGTGTTAAAACCACCATCTGCTCACCCTTGCCACTAAATATAGTACAAATTTCACTTTTATTCAAATCTGCAGCTACTGCCTTTGCCCCTGATCTGCCTGCTTGGCTGACATCATCAAAAGTGATTCTCTGAGCCAATCACAATGTTTTCCCATAGGATTGGCTGAGACTGTCAAGAAGGCAGATCAGGGGCAGAGCCAGCACAAGTCAAACACAGCTCTGGCCAATCAGCATTTCCTTAATGTGTCTCTATGAGGAAAGTTCAGTGTCTGCATACAGAGGGTGGAGACACTGAATGGCAGTGCTGCACACTGTGCAGTACTTCTCCAGGAAGTACCTCTAGTAACCATCTGAGGAATGGCCAGTGGAGTTATCACTAAGCTGTAATGTAAACACTGAATTTCTCTGAAAAGTCATTGTTTACAACAAACAGCCTAAAGGGAATGATTATACTCACCAGAACAAATTCAATAAGCTGTAGTTGTTCTGGTGACTATAGTGACCCTTTAAAAAAAAAAATTAAAAAAAACGTATTTGAAAATGTTTCACAGAAGCTCACTCCGCAGAATAGGCAAAGAGAAAAAACTGAACAAGGAATAGAGCAGCACTAAACAAACTAAGAACACTAGGATGGGAGGCAGCACACCTGATAATAGGGGAGTCCCCCCAACCCCCAAGAAACCTAGAACAAGTCAAACAACAATATACCGGTAAATCAAAACAAAAGGTTTTACAACGTAGAATCTCTTTACACTACAGGAGATTTAAATATAGAAACAGAGTTTGATGTTTGATTCAAGGTAGTATATAGATTTATAAAATACACATTCTATAATAATGTAAAAAAATTTCGAGTAAGCCTGGCAATTTAGATTTTATTCTGTCTACTATTCCATCACTCTGATTGTTATATGAGACAATACTCTGTGAGTCATTGTCCTCGCCATCTTAAACCAAAATACCCGAGACAAGCATCGATATCTGTTAAATGGTCAATTCATAAGAGACCTAAAGGATGAGATGTCCTATTAATTAGTCATGAAATGTCACTGCAACTGAAAGCAAACCAGAGAGGGATGACAAGTAAGTGCAAGAATCACATTCTTTTGTCAGGTTCCAAAAGACATCAAAGTGCAAGTTTTAGACACACAATAGCTTACTAACATCTGGTAACAATGCCATGATCAAACAGATACATCTCACTAAAATGTAGACATACCAGCCTTCTGTGTGTCTGGAAAGAACAAATAATTAATATATGTTTATTGATCAATGGCAGATGTAGTGCAATGTCCCTGAAAATATAGCTTAAAACTGATACCAGAGGGACAAAGCTGAGTGTTTGTTACAGTTTATTTATTTATTCTACACTGAGCTGTTTGGAAGTTAAACGGACACTCTAGTCACCATAACAACTTCACCTAAATACCTTTTTTATGAACGTGGAGTTACCAATTGGCTTAGAGCATCAGCATAATGCTCTAGCCAATCATTGGCACCCCTGTCTGAGGAAACTGGAGATTGGTGCTGGAGGCAGCCTTTGGTGTTAAACCATTAGTTTAGATGAAGTTGTTATGGTGGTCGGAATGCCCCTTCAACTTGGTAGTTTAGTCCTTGGGGAGATCTATGCTGCAAAATTTTAACTATAAATATGTTACCAACTTACAAGTGTAAAGGCTAATATATTAACTAACCTGTATTTGTGGGAAGGGACCTGGGTTTTTAATACTTACTTACACTGCCAATCAAGATGGTCCTTATGGTTATTCTCCACAGTTGCTTTCCATCCATTCATGGTTTTAAGTGTTTTTTTTTTCTTTATCTTCATATTTATTTGTTTTGCAACCTTGACCTCAATTTAATAAGCTTTCCAAGTGATTCAGTACTGTTAGAAAAACTTTCTAAACAATTTATCTCCATGATTACCATTATGTTTTATTAAATCTATGGGACTTATTGTAGATAAATCATCTGGAAAGTGTTTCCAACAGTATTGAATCATTTGGAAAGCTGATTAAATCGAGGCTTTTATGAGTTAATCTTTTTCTCTTAATTCATTTTCACAGTAGCCACTAAGTGGTGAATGGAATCAGTTGAAGCAGGTGTGAAAGCCTAACCATACTTATCACCTGCAATTCTGTTGCTTATCAGTGACATTTATTTCACTGACCGCCACGGAATTGACTGTAAAATAATCTAGGTAAAAAAATAAATAAATAAATTCATGTGTAACATTTCAAACACTCCTGTATCTGCTGCTTATATGAACAAAGGCAAAACAAGATGTGAAGGGATTTTCATTATGTCACAATAAAAGTAAAGGGTCCTAAATTGAAAAATGTCAGAAATCAGATTTCTCTTCTCGGATCATCAAACTGACATTATTTCCATTACCGTTTATATAATTGAATATTCTGTTTTTCCCAAAAAACAGCCAGACCTTTTTTTGTTTTAAATATCTACTAAATCTGATAAAACAACCTCTTTGTACAGAGAATTCGATATCTGACTGTAAAGAACACTTCTTTGCTGTAGGCAAAATCTCGCTTAAATGCTTACAGTGAATAGTGCTCATTTTATTATTTGCCTCTGGTAATAATCACTATTTTATGCTTTATAAATATAAAATGCAGCTGTTTACTCAAGTGATTCCTATTATATTTAAACTTCATATCATACTGTTGGGCCTTATTTATAACATTTGAAATTTTAGAGTTTGAGACCAAAACAAATACCCTGAAAAAAAAATCCAAGGTAGAGTGTGCTTCCAGTTCACTAATTTGGCCTAAAAAAAATGGAGTTTCCTCAGTTTCCAGTGACATGAATACCACTGTTAGTGCCTTATTACACTGAGAGAGATCTATGTATTATTCTCTGTGTGCACCCAAAATCAAAAGCCAGCTGACCTCACACTTTTTGAACCTTAATTGTTAAGATTCCAAGGGGGGGAGGGGAAGGGAAATGATGCAACATTATATGTATATGACCACCCAACATTATATGTAATTGACCACCCACTCAACTACATATTCTTTCTGTTGGTTCTCTCTCTCTGTCTTACTCTAGATCAGGCTTCCCCAAACTCCGGCCCTCCGGATGTTGCTGTACTACAACTCCCATGATTCTCAGCCTATTTCATGCATTCATAGAATCATGGTAGTTGTAGTTCAGCAACATCTGGATGGCTGGAGTTTGGGGAAGCCTGCTCTAGATCAAGTGTAGACTACCTTCGGCACTTCAGATGTAGTGGACTACATCGCCCCTGATGCTTTGCCAGCAATATGGTTGTAAGATCATTATGGGACATGTACTTCACATCTGTAGTACACAAGGTTGCCTATCCTTGCTCTAGATGGTATGTCCGTCATTTAGGTCATTTCTGATCTACCCCTTCCTGTGCATTCTCCATTAAATTTCCATTCTCAATGACTGACTCAACAGAAACTTTGTCTACAATATAGATGTCTGGGCATCTGTTATCACAGTGCTTCATTTAAAAAATTTTTTTTTAAAAAAATAGCAAAAAGAAAAAAGTCACGGGTGTCGTACCGCAACAGGAATGGCGAATCCCACCAACAGAAGTACTATGTAGACATAGTAGGCCTTAAGTAGGTTCACATGGGTTCTCCTTGGTCCACGTCATCTCTGCAACACCAAACAGCATGGGGTCATTAGATGATGCGGTCCCTTTGAGGGTGTGACGTCATTCAAATAAAATATATTTTAAAAGGGGTGTTGTTCAGCTTGCGAACCAGCAGAAGTAGCCATTCGCAGGACCAAACATGACCATAGATCCTATTGAGGCTGCGCAACACGAGGAGGGGAGCGGCGCAGGCGCCGTGTATAGGTAAGTTCATGCAGGAGACTTATAATAGTAAAATACACAATTAATGCTTCAAAAATGAACAAGCAACTTTAGAAATCCTAAATTTACATTGATCAATAAGCCTGTCATTTTGGAGTTTCTAAAACAGAACATACAGGTGTTTTTAAAAAAATTCCAGTTCTCCAAAACACTCCTTACAGATGTTATAAAAATAACACCCCAGCTCATGTCAATTATGTGAATGTATCCCGATATAAGACAGTGAATGACTCCCATCTTCTTGCCAACGTCTCCAGTTTTACAATACCTGTCATTGAGACCTGTCATGTTCAGGCAGCTTTTTAAAGAACGAAAAGGCTGCCAGCAAGAATGACTATAAAAGTTCCAATTTATTTAATACAACACTAATACTGGGAAATTGACAGCTATTATTTTATCAGCTCCTAATATACTCTGTTTATCAATGTAAGTGATATTATCTGATTCCCCTTATTATTTCCTCTTTGGTTGGTATGCATGGCTGTTGCCTTGTTTGAAAAGTCAAGAGAGCTTTCAATCACTTACATACATCGTATACAGGTTAAGGACACCTACAGTTTACATTAAAAAAAAAATGTTAACCTAGTGTGTTTTCACCACTCAATTTCTCAGCCCTGTGTTTTCTTTTGTCCAACATGATACACAGCATTGACCTAAAGATGGAGCTCTGTAACTTGAATCACCAGTGGTAAGATCAAATATCTCCCTCACTGGCCAAGAGCACCCTGGTGCGGCTGGTGGAGAGCAGAGAGCATGTGGGCTGCAGACCAAGGGCATTGTTCTCATTGCAATACTAACCCCTCTTATATCTCCTCACAGATCCATAGGTATGTCCCTTCTTGGTCTCTCCATTCTGCCTGTGACCACATCCTGTCCGTTAGCGGGCGCTCCCTTCCTATGAAATAGCCTGCCTACCACCATCAGACTCTCCCCTAGTCTTGCATCTTTTAAGAAGGGCCTTGAAACCCATCTCTAGGAAAGCTTATGGCCTCCCAGAGTAACCTCTATCTCACATACCTGTCTCTTGCTCTCTCCCAAAGGGCAGCACTTTACTCTCTCCTCCAGCTCAGCCTCACTCCCACCTTATTTGATTGCAAATTCCTGTCCTATTGTTTTTATACCCCACCTCCTATAGACTGTAAGCTCGTTTGGGCGGGGCCCTCTTCAACCTATTGTTACTGTTAGTTTTCTTGTAATTGTCCTATTTATAGTTTAATCCCCCCTCTTATAATATTGTACAACGCTACGTAATCTGTTGGCGCTATATAAATGATAATAATAATAATAATAATGAGCTTCGCTATGCAGAACGTTGCCACAAGATACTATGGCAATGCTCTGACACTCCTATAGTTAAAACTCTGAATCCCCTACCCTCCCATATACTGCAACACCTATATTCAAATTACTGCCTCTATACACACACACACACACACACCATTACAACCCTGCAGCCTCTATGCACACACATTACAGCCATACACACAATAGCCCCCTACAAACACAATAGAGTCCTATATGTACAGATAACAGCCTCTAGATGCACGCTACAACCCCAAATACACACTACAGCCCCTATACACACAGTAGGTAGAGCAATTAGATACACACTACAACCCCTATTTTCATTATTATTCATAAAGTGCCAACAAATTTCACAGAGCTGTACAGTTGGTGGACTAACACAAGTAGTTGCAAGACAAGTTGGATATATAGAAATAACACTTTATATATGCACAGGCAGCTTCCATAAGCACGCATTACACCATTTACCAGCGATGTCTCACTACAACCCCAATTCCCACACCCTACATCCCAAATCCCCACATTTATACACTACAGCTCCTCACTCTCCCACATACACTTTAGCATCCATTCCCCCCCCCCACACACACACACACACACACACACTACAGGCCCCAACCTAACACACTCTGGCCCTGGCCCCCACACTCTACAACACTGTCACGGCGCCCGCTGGATGCAGTCTGTTCCGAGAGTGGTCTTGGACCCAGTGGATGCACTTTTTTGCAGTGGTTCCCACTTACCTAAACAGCGACTGAGTCTGTAAGCATGTTAGATGCGGTTGCTGCACATCTGTACCTTATAAGGACTCTTGGGTCCACTTCATTTATGACTCGTTTCAGCATCACATGACATTTTTCTGGCAATTAGAGCTCTCCTTTAGTTATTTAAACCCTGCCTGTCATGTTTTTCATTTCTAGTAATTATGAGTGCATTTTTCTATTGAATCCTCTGTGTGTTTGACTTTTGGCTTGTATTTTATATTCTATTGTCCTTGACCTTGGCTTGTCTCACCGTGTAACCTCTCTGTACTCCTGATCTCGGCTTGTCCTGTTTATTTTAGTTTTACGTTAAATGCAGCCATTCTACCTTCTACAACTCTGTCCATACACACACTACATAACAAACAGCCCCATTTGCATACACACAACTCTACCTTCTCATGCAACCCCTTAAGCAACCTCCCCCAACATGCAGAATCCCCACACTCACAAGTAGCCACCTTACACACCACAGGTAGCAAACCAAACAAGTGGATTACAAATGCATACAAAACCACAGGCAACCTCCATTTTACACGCATCACACACATATATACCTTCTCCCTACCCACGCCGTACATGTTGAAACACTACAAGCTGTCTCCAACACACAACAAGCCTTCATCAAACACCTGCTGAATCCTCACATAAACCCGTCAATACATAACAGGTGGGAGAAAGAGTAAAATGGGTAAAAAAAGAGGGAAAATAAGGACTGGCAAAGAATTAACAGGAAATAGGAAGTTGAAGAAAAAGATGTGTGCAGCATGAGAGGGAGAAAGATTTTTAAAAAAGACACTGCAGTGAAAAGTTTTATACACAAAGCAAAGTGGATTTTTGCCAAGGGCAGTAACATTTATTTTCATTGTCGATTGCCTTGTATATCCAAAATAAAAAACAATGGATGTTTCTCTATTGCCATGTATTTCAAGTGTTCCAATAAAGAATATACCATTGTGCAGTTCATTCATCTATTCATATTCCTTCTGCACTATTTGATTAAGACAAGAAATTAATTTAAACCAATTTAAGATTCCTGTGTACTACAAGAGTTTAATACCCAATATTTATTACGTAGTGACAGATGGACTAGC